TATGTACAGTCTTCGATAGGTCAGGCCAAAGGTTGTACACAGTGGAAGAAGGCAGGGCTGAGTTTCCTGATAACTGAATAGCATCTAGAATCATCTTGAGATATACATGGGGAAGAATCTCTCTTGTGAGCAGCTCATTCCACATCGCAGACTCATCATTCTTCTGATCCTCCTCTTGCCACTTGATGAACCTCCGATTGTCTGTCAGGCCAAAGCAAGCATTGATGTGAATGGGAAGTCCGGTTTTGTTTTGTTCATTATTTGGAAGTGGCAGAAAGCAACATAGCCACCCATTGCAAAGTGATCTGTCTTCATCTAATCGAAATGCTGCGTCAGCTTGAGGGTAGAAGCTCAGCTTACTAGCTAGAGAGTCAATCTCTAGTATATATCCCTGTTTAAGAAGGCAAGTTGTCACAAGCCACTGGGACTTTGTTTCTTCCATTTGCTGGGAAATCTGTGATTTTTTTTTTAAACATGTTTTTCTGTCAAACGATTCCTGCTTGATATGAGAAAGGTCAGTAATAAAGTGATTTGACTCTGAAACTTTCAGCCTATTGTTGCAGAGGCCATTGGTGTCAATATGCAGTAAAGTAATAGATGACACATTTCTCAGAAAAAGAAGACTGATGTCTGCATCAGCAATGAAACTGTCAAAGAGCTGGGTAACTTTTGTGGTGTTATATAGGTTATTGGAGATCTCAGAAGCCTCATTACGCAGAGGAAAGCGGAAGAGCGTTCCTTTGAAGTATTGCTCCTCGCTGATGACCTTCTCCCAGGTACAACTTTTTACTTGACTGACAGTATTTTGAAAGGGCTGAAACTGATCTCTCAAGTTCAAAAGGCTCTCTCTGTCCTCTTCGTCATTCAAAGACCATCGATAGCCTTCTTCATCCTCTCCAAACATCATCTTTTGTGGATCAAAAATGGCTAGGTGTTCAGAACTGAAGACACATGGCAAGTCTGTAAAAAAAACAATAATCCATTTTAATATTGTTAACATCTCTAGTGTTGTGCTAAATCCTGTGTCAGAATCTGACATCCAAAGTACCCTAAAATGCAGTTATTTGTTAAAACTGATGTTGCTGTCCATCAGTTCAATGCAACCAGATTGTTGATTGTTATAATACACTATAATTAGGGATACACCAATCCTAGTCAATACAAATAAGGCGATATTACATTTATTTTTATCTTGAAATCAGTGCAACATTTTAATTAACAGTTTAGGGATTGGCTAAATACTATATCTAAGAGTGTTATTAAATGTGTTATTTTTAGTGTTACGTATTTAAAGATTAACTTGGATGATGAGTGTTAGCTGATGAACAAAAATGGGAAATGACCATGCACAATTAAATGTCCAATATCGCATTTTACTATTAATAATAGACTGACCTTCAAACAAGATTACTGTAATCTGTAACATAGTTTATTTCTGTTGTGATACCTACAATAATAATATTGATAAACATATAGCCTACCCTCTGACAATTTAACAGCATAGCAGAATTCAAAAAGAAAATTAATTATTAAAATATTACTGTGAACACATCATTCTGTCAAGCTAATTTGTTAGTATGCTAACAATTAGAAAGCTATAGATACAAAAAAAGAACATTTGGTTTAATCATTATTAGCTTAGATTACATAATGTCATATATATTTAAAAAGACATTGACTGACATTTGCGATGTTGACACTACATAAATCAACAAGCAATATTGTAGGATTTCTAATTAGCAGGCAGTAGAATATGCAAAAAAAAAGAAGAGCCAGTCTGGCAATGTAGCATATTTTACCTGTAATATGATAAACTGAGTTGAAACCGATCCCAAATCTCCCAACTTTCGTTGGGTCATCCTGCTTGATGCTTCTGCCAACTCTCTGAATACCCTCCCAGTCTTCCTCTGTAAAGGCTGCATCATTGAAGGCATAGAGAGCAGGTCCTGCCAGATCAAAGTTATAAATGGCTGATCATACAAAAGTGATCAAACAAAAAACTTTAGTCTTTTGCATAGAAGAGTAAAGGATTTCAGTACTAGTCCTAGCAGACAAAAATGAAACATGTCTCCCATACATGTACTCTGTGCACTTATTTGGAGCCTATTTTTTAGGACTAAACATTGATTTTGACCTAGTTTTGGATATCTACAGCTTGTGATACAACCGTGGAGACTGGTGCTTTTCAAAAGGGGTTGAAGCACAGATATCAGTGGATTAATGGCAAAATGTGTCTAAAAGTTTGATTTAGTATAAAAAGTACTCTAAATTTCAGAACTCAAACTCCTTCCCATTTACAAAACAGAAGATAAGCTGCAAAACTCCTGAAATCTTCATAGTTGTGGCATGTGATACAACAAAGAAGGATGGGTATGCAAACAAATGCAAAGCCCTACAGGGTAAAATCCTTTGTTGCAGGCTCTACAATAATTTTGAGTCTAATGTGACCACCCATTGAATCTGCTCCCAGTGTTTACAACACAAATACCTTGATACTTTCCAAGCTCTTCAGTCCACAGGCTGTGAGTCCCATAATGTCTCTCATCATGAATAAACACCACAGTTGAAGCTCCTGCATCATCTGCATTCTGTATCAGCTCCTGATATTTTATAGAATAATTATTATTGACTGAGGAGATATAAGATGCATACCATTTGATACACAATTGACCCTTCGCAAAAACCCGCCCTCCTTAGTTACTGTTGCTATGTCCTAAAAAGCCATGTCGTTCTCACACTATGAGGAAGTATTGGTATAACTGTCTTTTTTAATGTGTTTTGTACTGGTTTGTATTATGTGTGTTTTTTGCTAATGGACCTTGAGTCTGGAAATAAAGTTGAATAAATGAATGAATGTCTACACCTCATGCTCTCACACAGTGAAAAATACATAGCGGAGCAAAGAGGAAAATGATAACATGCTGACAGACAAGACAGAGCAGGTTACTTTAGGTATACAACATGGTCTCAGCTTTCAAATGTTGTCATTTTTTTAAAGAAATTAAAAAAAAAATGTAATGGCTCTTTAATGTGTCGTGACAGATCACTGCAGTTAGGGTTGCCAACCGTTCCATATACGGAATCGTCCCGTATTTAAGGCATCAAAGAAGTGTTCCGTATGAAAGCTATACGAAATGCAGTTTGTCCCGTATTTAAAGGCACAGTATGTAATTTTCGCCGCTAGAGAGCGTGTATTCAAAATAAACAAATAGACAAAAGGTGTAGTTTGATGACGTCGTGACTGAGTGTGGAATCATGGGAGTTGTGGTCTTCATCCCCACAGCCGATGCAATCCAACAGGACTCAGGCAGAAATCATGTTCATGGATGAGCTAATGATTTATTAACGTAGTAGAATGAAGCAGGGTGAGGCTGAAGCCGTCGAAGCGAAACGAGGCAGCTGAATGAGTGTGACACACGGCTCGAAAGCAGCGGAACTTTTATCTATTGTTCCTGTGGCTCAGTGGTAGAGCATTGCGTTAGCAGCGCAAAAGGTCATGGGTTCCATTCCCAGGGAACACGCATACTGGGAAAAAATGTATAGCCTGAATGCACTGTAAGTCGCTTTGGATAAAAGCGTCTGCTAAATGCATAAATTATAATTATTATTATGCTACAGTCGACCGCTTCCGCTCCTTCCGGTAGTGCGTATGTGGGGAAAAAAAAAAGCAGCGCTGTTTTATCATACTAGATACATTTGAACATATTTTAATAAAAAATCTTACATATTGTGCCTTTAAGGCATATGCCGTATGACCACCTACGAATAACAAACCCTAAATTGAGAATTAATCATTCTTTTTTGACAAGTGTTTGATTTGTGTGGGAGTCTTTAAGACCAAGCGGAATGTTTATTTTTAAAACAAACAAGCAAGCCCTGTCCAGATTTTAAAAAAGTAACGCAAAAGTAACGTAACACATTACTTTCCATAAAAAGTAACTAAGTAACGTAATTAGTTACTTTTTTATGGAGTAACGCAATATTGTAATGCATTACTTTTAAAAGTAACTTTCCACAACACTGTGATTCAGTATAATAAAATTCATTTAGAATGCTCCCAAAATTCAAGATATGGGAGCAGAAAATGTAGGCCCTATATATTTATATAATTTCATATAGTTGATCAATATCACACGAAGAGTGCCATTTTTTTTCGCAAAAATCACAAATGTTATGTGGCTCTTTAATGTGAAGCCCTATATATTTATATAATTTCATATAGTTGATCAATATCACACGAAGTGTGCCATTTTTTTTTCGCAAAAATCACAAATGTGATATTGATTTTATACAACCATTCAATAATCAAGAAGTTAATTTCAGACACCAAATTGCCTATTTTTTGCTCTATTTCGCCAAGAAAAATGGTTCCAAACAAAGCCACAGCACTGTTTTGCTTCTCTGAAAAAAATGACAATAGTTGGGTTTCCATCCAAAGTTGCGAATTTAACTTATGCGCAAAACTGGAATATCGTATAAAACATTTGCGAACAAGGATCGTTTCCATCCAACAAGTCAAAGAGAACAAAATCATCACTTCCTGATAAACTGGCACTATAAATCACTAAGAAAAGTAGGAGAATATAATGATTTTCATATATAATAAATTACTTGCGCCTCAGAGAAAGCAGACGGAACACAATAAATGCGGTCATTGCTGCTGTTTGGGACAATGAATGCGGTCATTGCTTTCGGAGATGGATGCTGATGTTTGGGAACGCAGTAGTGTAAGACATTTCTGGGAGGCAATTATACAGAAATACTTTGATGACAGACTTTGCTCGAGCATTTCTGAATGACCAAAACAACATTTCAGATGCTGTGAAATGAGATCGGTCCGCTGGTTAGTCAGGTTTTGCCGTCCCATAGTGCAAAGTCACATGATTTTTTGATGCGCTTGGAGGAATTTATTCGCAAAATGCATTTCCATCTCCCATTATTCGCATCAACCCTTTTTCGCACCAGTCAAAAACCACCTCAAGCGAGCGTAAAAACTTTTTTTGCGAATTAAGAGATTTTTATTCGAAATTTGGCGTTTCCATCACTCGTTTCTCATGCGATACTTCAACATGCGCATTAAAATAGGGTGATGAAAACATAGCTAGTGTTTCGTTCCTGAATGAATCAACCATTTAAATGATTTGGTTCAATCGCAATGACTCACTTAACAGTGACTTGCTGCCACCTACTGGCGGTTTTAATGGATGATTAGGGGGACCCCCCCCCAAGAGCTTTGACACAATTCGAACACTGAATTTAACATAACAGTTTTCTATTTTAATATTCCTGATAATTCCTGTGAAGCAAAGCTGAATATTCAGCATCATTACTCAGGTCTTCATTGTCACATGATCCTTCAGAAATCATTATAATATGCTGATTTATAATCAATGTTGGAAACAGTTGTGCTGCTTATTATTATTTGGGACCTGTGATATTTTTTCAGGATTCTTTGATAAATAAACAGTTAAAAAGAACAGTATTTACATTTACATTTAGCAGATGTTTTTATCCAAAAATAGGACAATGGAAGCAATCAAAATCAACAAAAGAGCAATGATATACAAGTGCTATAACAAGTCTCAGTTAGCTTAACGCAGATTTTTAAAAAAATAATATAATAAATAAAAAGACAACAGATAGAATACAAAAAGATTAGAGAAGCTAGTGTTCGTTTTTTTTTTTTTAAAAGAAAACAAGCAGCAAATGAATAGAGTGCAAGTCTTGTTAGAAAAGATTTCTATTATGAATAAATTCTGTTCTTTTTATTTTATTTATGGAACACAAGTTCCAAAAAATATTAAGCGGCACAAGTTTCAACACTGATAATAAATCAGCATAAGAATGATTTCTAAAGGATCATGTGACACATGAGGACTGGAGTAATGATGCTGACAATTCAGTGCTGCGTCACAGAAATAAATTCTATTTTAAAGTATAATAAGATAGGAAACCAATATTAGAAATTGCAATAATATTTAACAATATTACAGTTTTTTTTTTCTGTATTTTTGATCAAATAAATACAGCCTTGATGAGATAAGAGACTCCATTAAAACATTATCTAATATATCCCTCTGAAACGACATAAATAAAGTGTATATAAATGCATATTTTGCAAAAAAAGAAAAAGTGGACGGACACTGTTGCACTCTATTGTCATAATATCCACTAAATAGTATAATTGAACGTTGTCCAAGGTAACCAATTTCCTAAATCCAATTCTTCTTACATAATAAATATTCTGTATCTATTTATATATATATATATATATATATATATATATATAATAAGCCTGTGTGTGTGTCCCTTATTTTTCTATGAAAAACCACAATTGTCCCTTATTTTCCTTTTCTGAAGTTGGCAACCCTAGTCTCAGTTCAAGCAGCACATGAACCAATCGTCTTTTCATATTTATATAAAGCATGAAATAAACATGAATGAACATCAGATCCTATTTTATTTCAACCGCGGAAGATGTCAATACACAACATTTTTCAAGTTTAAGTCCACCAAAGTTAACCTACTCTCCAGTCTGATTTGTGCCGGACAAGATGGTGGATTCGGCGTTATGATTGGTCAGATCGCCTGTCAATCAAGTTCTTTGCAAACGGTCAATTATTCATGTAATATGTAAAGGTTTTTTTTTTTATTTTATTTTTTTACCTACCTTCAATATTTGTCCCCCATCTGGGTACCTTCTCAAAATTTCCTTCAAGTAATCAATAAATGGTGGAGATGTAGCACCAAATTTATTTCTACATTGAACAAAGTAAAGTTTATCACAAAATGCACAAAACAAGTGTTAGTATGTTTGGGATTATTTGTAAAACATATTAGCCTTATTACTGACTTTTTTCATAAACTCCTAAATACTTTACTAACAGTTCACTTTTAATCAGATATTAAATTGTCTTAAACATAAAACATTCAGTGAAAACCACTTACTTCTTTTTCTTCTTTTGCCTTGATGCTGAACTCATTGTCTTTCTTTTACAATCTCTGTTTGAAAAAAACAATTAACTTCCAAAGCATTCTTTTGAACATTTCTTATTCCATTGTCATTGTTAAAATACAGTTTTTTGTTGTTGTTTTTTTTTTTTGCCATGTAGTAGTTTGCATTGCTTTCTTGGGTCTCCTGTGGCTTTATAGCTACAGAACAGTTCATGAGTATACATACACCTTGCAGAATCAGGAAAATATTGATAATTTAAAAAAAGCAAGAGTGAATATAAAAACTGCATTTTATTTTTATATTTTGTACTGCCCAGAATAAGCAATTAAGTTATTGCACAAAACAGATGTTTACATATAGTCCAAAAGACAAAATATTGAGTTTATACAAATGAACAGTTCAAAAATTTTACATATACACTGGATTCTTAATACTGCGTCTCATAACCTTGATCCATTACTGTTTTATGTTATGTAATGGTTGTTCATTAATCCCTTGTTTGGCCTAAGCAGTTAAATTTCCCACTGTTTTCTGGGATCTTCTGAATGCTTGTGTAACCCCTCCGGTTACTTGCTACGTTCACTCTGAGCAGTATTCAAACTGGTGTTTCTGGCATGGGAGGAGGGCTCACCAAATTAATGTACATTCTGCAATGTGTCACACATTCACATTAAAAAAAAAATATATCTTTCTGATATTCAAAGGTCTCTTACTGCCTTCCTCCTCAAAGTCACCATTCACTTCCTTTATATTCAGTCACATGAGAAAAGGAGTATACTTCAGAAAAGTGAAATAGCTTAAGTTATAATTTCTCTAAAACAATACTGCCTTGTAAGGAGCTGTTTTTCAAGGACATATATGTCAGGATCCTGCCCTGACAGTCTTGTCACTGTTTAATGTTTCTTTCTTTGTCTTGTGCTTGAGCACAACTGGGTGAGTCTTTGTTTGTGTTCCTCTTGTCTTGCCTCCTTGTTTCCTGTTACCATGCCCCCTAGTTTAATCCTCGCTGGGCTGACTGTGTTCACTTGATCCTCTGCTCCCTATTTATTGTGCTCCTTGCTCTCATGTACAGTATTTGCATGTGTGTGCACTCAAACAATATTCTTGTTCTAGTTGTGTATTTGATGTTGTTGTAGTTCAACTGTATCCTTCGTTGTTGTTGTTTTTCTTTCTCTAGTCTTCTAGTTAGTTATTGCCCTTATGCATCCCATTTTTTTTTCTTTTTCAACTTCTACTCATTTTCATCTCTAGTAGTTCATCCAGTTCCCAGTTCGGTTTGATGCACAAACACAGATATGTTCTGGCCGACATGTCTAAACTAAAGTATATAGAAAGAATAAATCAGTCTGCATGCACAATAAACTAGTACAATTTATTTGCATCTCTCAACAGAATGTTTCTTGCAGGTTTTAATCAAATGTTATTTAATAATAGTATGTGTTCAGTATGTGCCTCAGGCTTGCACAGTATTGACAAATCACTTATCAGACTCCTCAGAAATCAACTTCGACAATTGGTTGAACCGGCTAATTTGGTTATTTTTGAGTCAGATGTGCTACTTCACCTGTGCGTCTTCTTTGACCAACTCGGAACTAAAGTTCAATTAATTTGTTCCCTGCCTTGTTGTACAACCTACAATAAAAAAAAATGAAGTTCCATTTTGTGAACCCATTTAACTGTTTACTTTCCTGAGAACCAGCTCAAAATAATTATTCATTCAAGAATCAGATATCACTATTCCCTTCAAGTTTTGTTCTTTTGTTTAATTTTATTTATTTTGATTCCTAGTTTTATTTTTCATTCGTTTTGTTTCTTAGCCTCTTGTTTCATTTATTATTTTCTCCTGCGCCATGCCTTGTTACCTTGCATCTTGTCTTGTTCATTGTCTTGTGTTCGCTCCTGCCCCGCCCTGTATCCTGAGGTTTCCTCTCACTGTCTGGCAGCAAGGCTGGTGTATCTGTCTGATACACTTAAGTGTGAGCCTCCGCCTAGAAACAAGACTGGTGCTACTGTACATCTGAGAAATCAAGCTTCTGGTTTCCTCCTCTTCCTCGCCATTTTCCCGCTTGGTGCTCCCTCTTCTTCTGCAGCCCTCAAGCCTGTTGTCACCCAGGACTGGTTTCAGTGGTCACCCTCCCTGCCTGTCATTGTGTCATCTGTTTGCACCGTGTTTCACACCTCACTCTCCTTGTTGTGCCCTGTGTACACCATCATTACTCATTCTGCATCTGGGTCCTCTCTCTTGCAGATCCGTGACAGTATTTCTTCTTTTCTTATTGTTTCGAATTTAGCTAGGAGTTTCTAACTAAAATTAAGTAACACTCTTTCTGTTTTTCTCTGTTTAATGTTACATTACATATGTCCCCCCCCCCATACTATGGAAGTCAATGGCTACCATCAACTTTGTGGTTACCAAGATTTTTCAAGATATCTTCATTTGCAATTCCGGCATTTATAGTTAGGCCTATATATTTATGTTTCCTACAAGACTATATGAAATCACTTGTGGACTATATGTAAACATACAGTATGTATGTTACCTAAAGCTTATCGTGTGCAAATAAATAAATAAAAATCAATAAATAAAATGAAATAAAATAAAAATAAAACCACATTTTGCGGAACTGCAAGCCAAACTTGTACGAAAGGAACTCATCATAAACGGAAGTATAACGGAGCATGCTGTAATATTTTGCTTATGCCTTGCATCAAAGCCATTCAAACAATGAAATAGAAAATAACTCTGAATATGTTATATTGTGATGTTATATTGGTATAATATTACAAAACGAAATATTATAATATTACTAATAATTGCATTTCAAAAACTCATGTAACGTCTTCATGAGGTTATCACCTACCTTTAATAGTCCTTATGTGGTCATGATGCTGCTTCCACTCGCATCCGCAGAATGAAAGCAAAGCGGTTAGAATGAGACAGTTAAACCCTCCTAGTGCGCACAAATCCTCTAGGTTTCTGTTGTGTGGAAAGAGCCTGTTTTGCGAAAATGAAACCTACCCATTCACTGTAAGTTCAATTAATGACCTTTGGGGGAAACAAATGTCTTTTAATCAGATGTTACAAACCAAAAACGGGAATAGCCTACTCGAAAACAACAATCTTGCGTGCGTCTTTAGGGCACTTTGTATTATTAAAGCTGCAGTCCGTAAGTTTTTTTGGTTAAAAATGATCCGAAATCAATATTTGAGCAAGTACATAACCAGCCAGTGTTCGAAACTGTCGCCTTACTTTAGCCTGATTCACAACGGTTAGCTTATAATAATGTTTTCTGATTTGAGTGGTATGGGTACGTTTTCGCGGGAAATTCGATCATGCTGCTGCGTCATTACGTCACGTCTGTAAACATAAAGAAGTTGTCCCGGCTACTAGGCTATCGCATGTGAGGATCCTGCAGGTGGCCGATCGTTTATAGCCTTTTCTCACAGCAGCTAGAATAATTAAATATATCATTCTGATGGCGGATTGTAATCCAGAAAGGATTATGTGTTTATGAATGCTATGTGAATGAAATTAAATTATATTCCAGTGTTAAATGTGCTTCTTACAGATAGCCTGGGATTACACAAGATTTGTATTTTAAAGACAACCAGTTCGAAGGAAGAATAATTTGCTTTTTGGGTTAAAATAATTTCTTAATATGAAATTCGAATGGTATGACAATTAGAGATTAGACTGTACAAATATTTAAATCTTCTCGTTTATACACACTATATATTCACATAGTCACGTAATGCTGATGGTGTTAACATTAACAATTTGAAAATAAAGTATAAAAATCATAATAATTTGCACGGTTTGATGTGATATGAGCAAACCGATCGTTATATTTAATCATCATTGGTAGCGCGATTTATTGTAATGCTTTTTTCCTCAGTTGGTCAGAACAAACGTGGCAGACTTGTTACTTACTTGTTCAGATGACAATATAAGGTGAAAATGCTTTTTTGGGTCATATATTCCAAGACGTGGGCTAGAATCTGTGATTGCAAAGTACAATATCCACACCAGTGCGGTGACTGACAGTCACACACACATACTCCTCAAAACATTAGATTCATCCGCGCTGGAGCCATGGCGGAGCACAACCCACGCAAGGAAGATAATTCCGCAAACAGCTGCAATTGCAGGTTTTCAAACAGAGATGGCGACAAAGAGGCAAAACTTACAGACTGCAGCTTTTAATCAGTGTCAGTCATTCGCAAGCTCAGCTCCGTTTAACATAAATAAATTAAAAAAAATAATAGGCTAATAATAATAATAAAAATATGTTAAAGATTTTTTTTTTTAGTTAATACTTAACCTGAGCAGCACAATATGACGAGGGAGGGTGATGACATCTAAATGACTAGAATAGAAAGAAAATAACTTGTACACACATGGACAGAAATAATAATAATAATAATAATATAATAAAGAACATGTCTACTATAGGCCTACATACCCGTCACTCATTATACGTAAAAAAAAAATAAAAATAAAGGAAATGAAAGCCTTTAAATTCTTGGGACTTTCCATTTTAATTTATTATCATTTACAGTGGCAAAAAAAATTTACTTTAATAAATGTAGGTTAATTTTTGCTGAAATTTGTATTTAGCCTGTATTAAGGCATTTATAACTACGTACATAAGTAGCCTAAATATAACGAAGTAATGTTCTTGCCATTAGACAACTTTTATTTTGATAGCATGACAGGCTGCTTAGGCAACTCTATGGCTTCCACGAAAGCCAGAAACGGATTTTCCTTTGTTTACAGCACCAGTGATAACATCGCTGTCAGTTCGTGTGATTTTCGCAAAAACCTGAAAATGCTTCTTGCATTACATGCCGCCATTCTACATTAATGACTGTTCATCTGTGCCGATTTAGCGTAGGCTATACTATAGAACCACATGGACAATTTGACGCGAGTCGTATGCAGTGAATAATGTAGCGAACTAAGAGATATTAACAAAAGCTTCAGTTATGGTCTTGGCGGAAACGGTGGAGAAAGGGGTGAGTTTGCAT